CCCTCCATGTCATCTTCATTTCTATGGTTCACTCCTGATCTAGCTGTCCTCTTAATTTGCTTTTATTTTAGGTGTGGTTGTTAATAACTGTGAGTTTGCTGTCCTTTTACTGTTCATCTTTTTTATCTTCTTTTTCTTAGACAAGTCCCTTTAACATTTCATATAATAAGGGCTTGGTGATGATGAACTCCTTGAATTTGATCTTATCTGAGAAGCACTTTAACTGTCCTTCCATTTTAAATGAAAGCTTTGCTGGATAGAGCAATCTTGGTTGTAGGTGTTTGGATTTCATGACTTGGAATACTTCTTTCCAGCCCCTTCTTGCCTGTAAGGTCTCTTTTGAGAAATCCGCTGACAGTCTGATGGGAACTCCTTTGTAGGTGACTGTCCCCTTATCTCTTGCTGCTTCTAGGATTCTCTCCTTCATTTTATTTTATTTTTTTAGCACACCTTTTATGACCTCTATATTTTGGGGGGAATAAAAAGAATAATTAGCATGCATTTATAAGAATCTCATAGCTGTAGACATTAGTAGGTTTTGTACATATAATACATGGTTTCCATGACACTAAACATGTATTGGTATTTTAAACATATATAAAGAAAAGGGAGAATATAATAACATAAGTATAATCTAAATAATAAGATGTTTTGTATTAATTTTTATAATTATAAAACTAATATTTTAAACAAGTTATTGTTATATGAAATGGGATATAAAATTTTTTTTGTTTTGTGCTTTCTTGTGGTCCAATTCAGTGATGATAATTAATGAACTATTCTTTCCCAGTTGAAGTATTGACATAAAGTCAATTAATACTTTCCCTAGATTTTAGTTGATTATCTTGGGTATTTCCACGAACTATTACAGCAACTGCAAATGATGGTTTTTGGCTTATTTCAAAACTTATGCCCCATATCTTTTTTTAAAAATTGAGATAATTTCTAGAGTGTCTAGTGTAAGCATCTGACAGTGAGCTTTTCTGATCGTGCTGCAAAATGCCTGAAGTTAAGCTTTTGATTGCCTAGGCATCCACTTTAGAGACATCCATTTTGAATAAACACATTGCAGTTTAAATAAACACAACTAGACAAAGAGCCAGGCTACCCCACCGCTAGTTTCCCTTTTTTAGACAATTCTTGTTTATTTAGATAACTGACCATTTGACTGCTTTCTTTTCTCTTTCCTCACTGTAATCCCCACTCTTATGTTTTATTCTCCTTCATTTTAATCTTGGCTAATGTAATGACGATGTGCCTTGGTGTGTTCCTTCTTGGGTCCAACTTTTTTTTTTTTTTTTTTAGAGAATATAACTTTTATTTTGTAAAGCACTTTTCAATTTTCCTGTCACTTTATGGTTTTTTAAAATTTATTTAGTTATTTTTCAAGTACAGTTTTTTTTGTCAATTTCTCCCATCCCAGCCCCCCCTGCCCCGTCTCCCCACCTCCCTCCCATTCCCCACCCCCCACAGTCCTCATCCCTGTGTCTTTCATACTTGTTCTTCAAAATCCCTCCCTGTTTTTCCCCTTAAATTCCCTTCCCTCTCCCCTCTGGTCGCTGCCCACTTGTTCTCTATTTTAGTGTCTTTGTTTTTATTCTATTTGCTTGTTTATTTTGTTATTTAGCTTCCTGTTAAAGGTGAGATCATATGGTATTTGTCCTTCAATGCCTGGCCTATTTCACTCAGCATAATGCTTTCCAGTTCCATCCATGTTGTTGCAAAGGGTAGTAGCTCCTTCTTTCTCTCTGCAGCATAGAATTCCATTGTGTATATGTACCATAATTTTTTGATCCATTCATTTACTGTCGGGCACCTAGGTTGCTTCCAATTCTTGGCTATTGTAAATTGTGCTGCTATGAACATTGTGGTGCATAGGTTCTTCTTTGGGACTCTCTGAGCTTCCTAGATTTCCCGGAAGTCTATTTCCTTTGCCAGATTGGGGAAGTTCTCCTTTATTATTTGTTCAAATAAGTTTTTCCACTGGTGGCTGTTCCTTTCCCCCTTCTGGTGCCCCTATAATTCGGATGTTGGAAGGTTTAAAGATGTCCTGAAGGTTCCTAAGCCTCTCCTCATTTTTTTGAATTCTTGTTTCTTCATATTTTTCTGTTTAGTCATTTTTTCCTTCCTTCTGGTCTGCTCCCTTGATTTGAGTCCCAGTTTCCTTTCCATTACTATTGGTTTCCTGTGCATTTCCATTCATTTCAATTAATTTAGCCTTCGTATGTTTCTCTAACTTGTGACTAAAATCAACCAGTTCTGTGAGCATCCTGATCACCAGTGTTTTGAACTGTGCATCTGAAAGTTTGGCTATTTCTTCATCACTTAGATTTATCAGCTCTGGGGCTCTGAGTTGTTCTTGAGCCATGTTTTGATCTGTTCGAGCCTGTTAAGTATGAGGAGCGGCACCGTAGATGTTCACCAGGGCGGGGCCACCCAGGTCGCTGGTTTGTGACGCTATATGTGGGGGCGGGGTCAGAGAGGGAGCAATGGCGGTCCTCTTTACTCGCCCCCACCCATTTATCTGAGCACAAATGTGCGACCCCACCGCCCTGCACTGGGGCCTGCTTGGTCTGCCTCAATGCAGGACTCTTCACTGGTTTATCTGCACGCAAATGCTCGACCTCAGACAGGCAGCTGTGCCGCGCCTTCCCGTAGCTACCCCGCACCTGGGATCTACGCCCTCAGCTGCTGTGCGCCGCCCAGGTTGGTGGGGAAGAGTCGTTTTGGCCCGACCAGCTCCGCAGCTGGCTTCGCCCCCTCACCGGTTTAACTGAGCATTTCGTTGTTTTCTGACTCCGTATTGTTCGATTTTCTGTGGTTTCGTTGCGTATTGTCGTTAAAACTTTGTTGTTTTTAGACTTGGTTGTGGGAGGAAGCAAAGTGTTTCCACCTAGGCCTCCATCTTGGCGAAGTCCCAGCCCCAGGGTTTTTTTGTCCCTGTGCCTCAGGTGGACCAAAAAGGGACTTCCCTGCAGTTTGCCATCACCTCCTGTCCCCCCCGCCCCCCACACTTAACACCATGCACACACAGGCCTGCAGGCATACTCAGTACCCCAAGCCCACAAACACAGGGTCCAGCAGAAGTAACACTTGCTTGAGTGTGGTTGGTGGGGTAATAATATGGGTGTAATAATTTACAGTTTTAATTTGAACATTTCACCTAAAATGTCATAGGGTATACTTGAGTCACATTGTTATGTTGCAGAATTCCATGCTTATGATTTTGTACTAAAAGATTTTGCAATAAAAGCAGGCATTATTTGTGCCAATCCCTGTGTGTACTATACACAGAACTCCCCACACCTGCACTCATGAACAGGCATGCAATACCATAAACCAATGTGACAGCATGACCTTTTCACGTACACACTCACGCCTTCCTCTGATGCTGGTAATTATGGCCTAACACATGTATACACATGACTAGGCACACATAACCACAGACACACACACACACACAAAAGACCCTCACACACAAGCATATGTAAACTTTCTTCACATTTGCACAGTGCTTCGGGCCCCATGCAGCCCCGAGGTGGAGAATGGGTTTACAGTGCAGAAGGAGATATGGTCTAAATCCATTCTGAGTGGGATTGGCATTTGGAGAGAGTTTAGGGTGTTAAGTAGCAATAACTGGGTCATCCACACTCTCTTGTCTGTTGTTTTTTGAATTAGGGCTCAATGTCTGTCTAGGATCAGGGCTCTGTCTGTGACAAGGGTCGGGGCTCAGTGTGACACCGGGATCAGGACCCAGACAGTCACTGGGGCTGGGGCTCAGGCAGCATCCTGTCCCTCCTAAAAGGGTCAAGTTTCTGGGCCAGCGCGGAGGCACCAGGCCTGAGAGGTAACCGCAGCCATCCCCCTGACTTTGGGCATTCTCCCTCCCCCACCGGGGCCTGGCCAGGCCTGGCTGGGGTGATGAGGGGTCCCTACTGGGAGCAGACCTGGTCCCAGAGATCTCCAGAGCTGCCCGACCCTAGGGTCTTGCAGCGGTTGGCAGCGGGGCCAGGCTACGTGGCAGCCCCACCGCTGCTGTGGGATGAGACACCTTGGCACAGGCTGTGTTTGCAGGGAAAACACTTTCAACCACAAGCAAACCTGTCCCTCCCCATGTCCCTTCTCTGTAGGTCCTGCACACCAGGGAGCTTTATAAAGCGCCTTCATATCTGCCTGGGGCAGAGGAGGGCTTGGCTGGGGCTGAGAGTTCACCTGTCCAGGGACTGCCTGAGGTAGGACTCAGGATGAGCTGCCATTCCTCCAGAGAAGAACCTCAACTTCTCTGTCTGTTCAGTGGGGACACTACTTTCAATCGCCTTCTGCAGAAGGGCTCATCCCTGGTCTTGCTGTGGGCCTCTGGGGAGGGGCTGCCTTAGCAGGACTCAGCCCATCTGAGCAGTGGCCCCTCATTCCTGTGCAGCTCCTTCCCTCCGAGCTGGACACAGGTCTATCTGCCCACTTGGCTGGGCAGGGGTAGGAAGGGCTGGGGGTGGGGAAGAGGCCCACTTTCTGGACATTCCTTACCTGGCGCAGGATGGGATGAGGACAGGAGCCACCCCAGGTCCTCCCCTGGCTAGGTTAGGACACCCGGACCCCAGAATGGGCTGTCGCAGTGGTCTGTAACCCTGGTATCAGGTGACACAGCCCTGGGCCTTGGGGCGGTGGGCCAGGGCTTCAGTCTCCCCGCTCGGGAGTCCCACTAGCCTCCTCTGGCTTGGGTCCTGCACCAACCCCAGTTTGCTGTGTGGTCTTAGGTGAGGCCATGTCTTCTCTGTGCCCAGGGGCCCAGACCCCTCGAGGTTCCTGACAAAGCAGGCAGGGGAAGGCAGTTCTTCCCACTGAAGAGATGCAAAGCTGAATGAAGCCTGGGCTGGGGCTGGGAGCCTGCTCAGGGCTTTCGGCCTCCAGGCTGGGCTGGGCTGGGGGAGATTCTGGACAAGTTCCCTGATGTTTGTCCCCACCCCAGCCCACAGATTTGGGGGGCAGTGACCAGGACCACCATGGCTCAGGTATGCAGGCTGGGCCTGCTGCTGGCGCTGCTCATGCCTGTGGTGGGCGCCTCTATACCAGGCACCGTGGTCAGACTCAACAAGGCAGCGCTGAGCTACGGTAAGAGTCGAGTCGCTGGGCTGCCCCGCGTGTGTCTGTGTGTGAGCATGTGCAAGTGAGTCCATGTCTGCATGTGTGGACAATCCTAAGTGTGTGTGTGCATCTATGAACTCAAAAGACCTCTGAGGACCCACTTGGATCTTATCTGTCACTGTGTCCCCTGCTCCCAAGAAGTTCCTGACACAGTGCTTGCTGCTCAACAAATATTTATTAAGTAATGCATGAGCGGGGGCATGTGCTGTGTCCAGTGTGCACGTGTGCCCGCAGGGTGGGCACATGGGCCTAAGAGGGGTGGACATGGCCAGCTTGTCTGGAAACATTGCTTGTGTGTGTCTGTGTGTGGGTTTGACAATTCATGGTGATGTGCACACACGTGTCCTTGAGTGTCAGGCAGGTGCCCGACCACTGGCATGTGTGCAAATGCCATGATGCATGGATGTGTGTATGTAAGTGTGGCTGCCCACCCTGGCTATACACGTGTGTTCATGAGGGGGGTCTCTGTGCGCATGTGTGTGGGAGAGCATCCTGGAGTTAGATCCCTGCCAGGGTCATAGGGAAGAACCACCTCTCACCGGCCCAGCCAAGGCCTTTGTCCTAGACTCTGCTCCATCCCCTGGGGAAGGTGCAGTGAGAAAAACTAGGCCCAGGGAGGGATGGAAGCTGTCCCCCCAGTTGCCCCTGGGGTGGCTTTAGGGGTCTCGAAGCTGGGGTAGGGGTGAGAAATCAGAAGTTGTTTCCCTCGAGGCCAGACCAAACTTGGGTTATAGTGCGAGGGACTCGGGTCAGAACGTAGAAGGGACTTTCCGTGGCCCAGGCCACAAAAGCAGTGCGGCAGCGGCTCAGGGAAGCAGCGGGGTGTCCTGGTGTGCACACACCTTTTGGGACCTCGTATCTGAACAGACAAGCAGGTGATGAAAAGGGTCAGTGATCCATGTTAGAGCATGCCTGGCACAAGAGACCAGGCACGGATGCCTGCAGGAAGAGACCTGAGGCTGATGCCCTGCTGGCCACCTTCTCTCCACCTGTCGCATGTGAGCCTCCTTTGTCCCAGACAGCCGTCCAGGTGTACCTGGCTGTGTTTGTTCTTGATGGAAATCCGGCTGGAGGCCCGGGCCCCACATGCCTCTTTCCAAAGCCAAGTTGGCTGGCTGGCTTCTTATCAGTGTCCTCTAATCTCTGCCCTGTGCGGGGAGTGCTGTAGATGAAGTCCAGGGGCCTGGGTGTGAGTCTCAGCTCAGCCACAGATGGTCAGGCTGGGAAGAGGGGCATCGGGAACATAGAGACCACTGCCTCTATGCTTGGGTCTGGGGAAACTGAGGCCCAGAGGGGCCCAGGGCCCACAGTGAGTCTGAGCAGAGCCTGGGCCTTTCGATTCCTCATGTGATGCTCTCGCAGCACCATCCCCTCTATTAATCCCACTCACATTTAGTCAGCACCTTCCCTGGCCCAGCAGCACAGATGTGTGAGGAAGTCCAGGGCCTTGGGAACTGGGTGCCTCGGCCCAGATCGGACTTCTCCTCGCCAGGTGTCCTCACCTCCGGATAACCTGGGCATCGTACAGCACCTACGGCATTGAGCTGTGAGGAGCAGGGCCTGGCACAAAGGGGGCATCATAGAATGATTGCCATTACTATCCTGAAAACGAATAGCAATAGGGAGAGCGAACGTCAATTGTGCACTGAGTGGTTACAAGGACCCTCTGTAATGGGTAGCATTATAATCACTGCGAATTTATAGGTGGGGAAACTGAGGCACAGAGCAGCCACACAGATAGTAGCAGAGCTGGGGCTGCACCCAGAATCTGAGGGACTCTGGAGTCCTCAGTACACAACTCCCAGGCCTCCCCACTCCTGTTTGATTAGGGGTCCCCTTCTGCTTGGGGACTTGAGGGGGCCCCAGAGGAGATGGGCTTCCCACCAGAGTCTTGGAAAAGGGCAAAGGATGTTATTGTTTCTGAGGAGCAGCGTAGACAAGTAGGGATTAGAGAGACAGAGAGAGGAAAGGCATGGCTTGCAGCCCCGATGTGAGAAGTGTACCAAGGAGGGCTTGGCCCCCATGTGCCCGGTGACAAGCCTGCCCCTTCCAGTCTCTGCGGCCTCTCCGCTCAGGATGGGGGACAGATGCTAGGTGATGTGTCTCCTTTGGTGGCTCCTGAGAGCAGCCTAACCTTGCCCTGTCTGGCCCTGCAGTGTCCAAAGTCGGGAAAGCCCCTCTCCAGCAGGCCCTGTGGGTCACTGTGCCGTACTTCCTGGAACAGAGTGGAGAGGGGCTGCAGCCCACCAGGTGAGTGCTCCCGTCACCAGGTGAGTATTCCCACCGGCAGGTGCGTGCTCTCACCCCCTGGGAAAAACACTCCAGCCCACCAGGTGGGCACCCTGGTCTGTGGCAGAATGCCTCCTCCAACAGCTGGATGGGGCCCCTGCCACCAGGTTGGATACCCCCTCCCATTTGGCGAGTGGTCACAAGAGGACTAGGAGATGTGACCAAGGTGGAGACATGGGGACTGGTGCCTCTGAATTGGTAGAATTCTGCCCCCAGGGGCCAAGACTGTGGCTTCTGGGTCCCCAGGGCTGGCAGGACTCTTGGCCACTTCCTCCAAAAGCTAGACGCTGGATCTAGGGCGCAAGCATGAGCCCGATTTCCCTCCACACCCCTCGTGATGCACAGAAACTCAGGCAGAGCCAGGCAGGGGTGTCTCAGACTCAGCCGTCCCCAGGGCCTGGGCCAGCTGACCCCATCCCCGTGGGGCGCAGACTCACCATTGCAGGTGCCTGGATTCCCCAGAGAACTCACAGAATCTGTCAAGGTTTGAGTGATGACAACTAAGTATAAACCTGTAAAACCTGGGTGGGCATGAGCCCCAGCTGGTCACAGTGGAGAGCTGGGAATGACAGCAACCCCTGCAGCCGAGGGTTCCTGAGTGACCTGTGGCCTGGCCACAGGTGGGTGGCACGCGAGTGTCCTCGTTTGTAGGTGTGGGGACACACCCAGGATGGTTGACCGTCAAGGGAAAAGAAACGGGTTCTAGGTCAGCCTTCGTCCTAAGGAAAGTCACGGAAGGATGTCACCCAAGTGCTAACAGTGAGCTTTTGAAGGTGGAGTTTTGATGTGACTTAAAATTTATGCCATTTGTAGTGTCTGAATCAAACCCCCTATCCCTACTGTGCAGGGGAAAAAATGACTTTCATTTTGGGGGAAAAAAAAAAGCAAAGATAGGTCAGTTGGAAAGTCTTAGCAATCTGAACAACTTTGAAGGGAGTGAGTCTCCCATTGCTGGAGGGCTACAAACCAAAGCTGTTTACTAGAATGGTATAGAGGGGATTTCTGCCTTCTGTGCCTCTCAAAGTTTTTCTTTTCCTAAACTCCCAGATTTCCAGGCCTCAGTCAGACACTAAAATCCCTCCAAGGCCTGGAAAACCATCTCACCCAATTCCTGTCCAGGGCTAGGGTGCTCTCTGCATCTTTCCCCTACATGGCGGTTGTCTATATAGGGCTTTCATGCCCTCGTGATAGAGAACTCACTGCCTCTTCCTCGTCCCACATTTCCAACCATCAGACAGTTGTTGTTCTTTATTTATAATGTGGCCAGTGTGGCTGTGGCCTGGGGCACCTACCCGAGCTGATTCCGCAGTTTAATGGGAGCTCCCTCGTCACCTCCTTTCCTACCTGGCAGGGTCCAGATTCTGGACGTCCAGGTGCCTCGCCTTCACCTGAACTTCATCGACGGTTTTGGGATACGTTTGTTGGCAGCAGCCAACTTCACTGTCAAGGTCTTTCGGTGAGTGAATCTCCTGATTGCAGGGGGTGGGGCAGGACAATTTTCAGAGGTGATTAGAGTCATTTCACTTCCCCAGCTCTCAGTTTTCTCCTCTGCCGATGCGATGAATTTCTGCAGCAAGACTGTGAGGGTCACAGCAAATGGATTCATTGCTGTAATCAAAATTACGTCCCTCTTTTCACAGCCCAAGGCACATAGGAGGTGCTCAATAAACACAGCTATTATAATTATTTCTGTGCACCAGCCACTGTATATTCATTTAGTTTTCAAACTGTGAGCTGGACCTTCAGAGGGATCTCTCATTTTAACCCTGGGCACTTCATTTCACTGGTGCTTACTGCAGGCCCAGCTCCAAGCAGGGTGTTATCACGTGACTACCGTATGGAAAGCTCAGCACAGCCCCGTGAGGGCGGCACCACCAGTCTTATGCCCACTTTACAGAAGAGGAAACTGAGGCTTAGCGTGGAGAGTGACTGGCCCAGAGCCTTGCTTGCAATGAGAGGGCATGGGGAGCTGGGGTCCATACCCATTGTTGTAATATCCATGACCTTGAGTGGAGTTTGGGGGTCATCTCATGCTGAGTGGGGGTCCTGTCTGTGTTCACTGGGGGCACAGACTTGGGCTGGGGGTTTGTGGGACCTCGCACTGGTCCACACGGGCCTCGCTGGGTGGTGCTGCTGGGGCTCAGGCCTGGCATCTCCATAGAGTCCCCGAGCCCCTGGAGTTGATCCTGCCCGTGGTACTGCTGGCCGATGCCCACGTGGCCCAGGCCTCCATCGGGACCCCTGTGGTCAGCATCTCCGCCTGCTTGTTACTCTTCAACAAAGCCATCGTGTTTGATGACACTCACAGGTAGGTGCCTGGGCTGTGGTCATTTCTTGAACTTCTTACTCAAGCCTTAGTCTAGTCGCTGCAATGGGCTTAGAGGCCCCTAGTATCACATCTGTTTTATGGCCGAGTACACTGAGGCTCAGAGAGGGGGAGGGACTCGCCTGAGGTCGCACAGTGAGTATGCAGCCTAGGCCGTGTCCCCTCTACCGCCCAGCCCCACACCATACAACAGTGCACGGAAACACTGTCATGCATTTTTTAAAGGATTCAGGACTGATGCCTCTGTTAGGGATTTCAGAGGGCTGCCCCTCCCTGCAGAGATGGGGCATCCGAGGCTCCGGGTGGAGCTGGCACATGCCAAGCTCTCACTGTGTCAGGTGGCCCTTCCGTGTCCTCATCCAGAGCTAACAGCAGCTCCGCCTCCAGAGCACCTGCTGTGTGCTGGGTCGGATTCAGGTCCTTCCTGAACAGGGAGGGTGTACGTATTTCCCCCATTTCACAGGGGAACAAACAGAGGCCCAGAGCAGTTAAGTGACTTGCTTAAGCCCACACAGCTGGCAAGTGGTGGCGTTCAAACCCCCGCAGCCTGACTAACCCACTGCTTGGGAATCCTCTGCCTGATGTCTACGCCTTCCCACAGGGGGCTGGGGGCTCCCGGGGAGGCGCTCGAGCCTTCTGGACCGGACTTTTCCCCAGAGAAGAGCTGGGTACAAATGCATTCGGGCTGGTGTCCCACGATCACCGTGTGGAACTCATAGCCCCTCATGGTGCTCATGGGGGGGGGGCTGCTCACAGATGAAAGCCCCAATGTCCATAGCAGTAAAACCACAGATGCTGTTCTCCTGCCCCCCCTGAAGGCAAGCCAGTGAGCTCGGGCTGCAGCCTGGACCAGCACTGTAGCAAGGTTCCTAGGCATCCACTGAGACGCACCAACCTAGACCCATCTCTCACTGTTTAGAGAGGAAACTGAGGTCCAGGGCCAGGAAGGGACTTACAAAGGGTGTCACGGAGAACTGGGGCCCAAGCAGGAAGCAGCCCCGCCTCACTGGGCTCAGAGTGGACACGGAGCCAGCTGTTCACGGACATGGTGCAGCCCAGCTTTTGCAACGCCCTCTCTGTCTCCCGCAAGCCTGGCCTCATTTTCATGTCTCAGCCTCTTCCAAAACCTGAGATCAGTGACCTCTTCTCTGAGGCTCAGTTTCCTCATCTGTGGGGACGATGCCAGCACGGTGTCCAGCCCACGTAGGGTGTGGAATGGGAACCACTGGCCCCTGACTGAGGGGAGAGATTCTCTTCCTGACTGTGGCTTTGCCAAAAGAGACAGGCCTGGAGGCGCTGACCCCGGACTCAGGAGCCCTTTCCGTGTCCCCCCCGCAGCACGCCCCCCGCACTGCTCGTCCTGGTGCAGCAACACGTCAGAGCCGTCCTGCGCAACAAGGTAAAGGGCGGCCCACCGGACCTCCCAAGCAGGAGGGCGCCGCTTTCCTCGCAGGCGTGGTGAAGGCAGGGGGACGGCAGGCATGGGGAGATGGGGATGGTTATGACATTTTTATTTTTATTTCTTTTAGAAGAAGGCCCTTCGTGGGGGCTCCTTCACTTTTCCCACAAGAGCGGGGAAAGGGCTGTGGCAATGAGCCAGGGCAGTGATGGGGAGACCCAGAGAAGGGCAGGTTTGGGGCTGACAGGGGAGGGAGGCTTAGTCTCAGGCTAGCCCCAATTTCGTGCCGGAGGGTGGGATGGAGACAGTGCTTTCAGGGACCACACGGCTGTGAAAAGAAGACAAAATGGGACTGGACAAGGTCATGGCCCCTGGAGCCAGATGTGGCCTGGGTTTGAATCCTGGCTCCCCTTCTTCCCAGCTCTGAGCCTTGGACAAATCACCTAACCAATTCCTGCCCATCCGTCCCACCCGACTCCACAGCTGCAGTGCAGAGAGATGGGCTGGTTGTGGGCTTGAGCGCATTAACATCTCGAGGAGGTTAGGACAGTTTGGGCGGTGTGAGTGACACTATTACTGTGAGTGTTTTAGCTCTTGTCACTCGCTGTCTCTGGTTGACTCGGTGAGAGCTGGTGCCCCAGGTGCAAGGGGCCCCCTGCTGATGGGGGGCCATTTCTCCAACTCTGCCTCTTCCTACCCTGCCTCCTTTAAGGGGCAGTAATAGAGACCAAACCAACCCACTGCATGCCATCCCCCCATCTTGCAGATGAGAAAACTGAGGTTCGAGCGTTGAAGGTAGCACAGCCTGACCCGGGCCTCTCTTCAGCCTCCTGGCCTTGCCTGGCCCGGTCTCACCAGCTCTGGCCTGGACCAGGCAGTGACCACTTGGCCTTGCAGTCTCTCTTCTGCCCCACCCTCTATTACAGTGACCCCACCTTAATACACTTCTGTAGCCCCACTGTGCCCTGGAGAACACTAGTCCCCTGGGCCTCACTTGCTGACCTCTGCCCGCCTCCACTGTGGGCGGCACCCTTCTGCCAGCTGGCCCTCTGCTGCGCAGGCTCCTGCCTCTGTTGCCCAGGCCTCGCTGTGGCCACCTCTGCGGTGTCCCACAGTCCTGCTCTTTCCTCGGTGCTCACGGTCCCCACCTTCGCCTCCGACTCCCCAGTGCCCAGAGGAGGTGCCCGAAGATGCCCACTGGTGGTGGAGAAGGAGGGTGTTCCAAGTCTTGGTGTCCAGTTTGGGGGAGGCTTCCGTACAGGGACCCAAGACCCTCCCAGACCCTCCCCCTGCAGCCCTAAGCGCTGCTCTAACCCAGGCTGCTTCGTCTTGTCGCAGGTGTGTCTGAGCATCTCCAACCTCGTGCAGGGCCTCAATGTCCACCTGGGAACTTTAATTGGTATGTCTGGGCAGTCTAGGGGGTGGGGGAGGGGAGCTCTGAGACCTTCCGAGAGCCCTAAGACCCTTCAAGATGCCCTCTTTGGATCAGCTTTGGCCTCCGGGAGGTCCACTGTAAGATGACTGCACAGCTATTGGTGGAATCTGGGGATCTTCCAATTCTAGAACGTCTGAGTGTCTGGAGCACATCTGCGGGCGTGTGCGAGGGTGCGTGCCATTGCCTCCTGCCCTGCCTGGAGATTCGGAGACCCCCCTCCCCTGGTTTTGCCCCCGCATCTCCCACATGCTTCACCAGACTCTCCGCCCCACTCCCCTTTCAGGGCTCAGGTGCTTATATTCCACGTCCTCCTGGACACCTCCCTGCGGGTCCCACAGGCTCCTCCCACTCAGTGTGTCCTCCACAGAACTCAAGGTCTTCTGCCTCCCAGTGCCCCTGGCCCTGGTTGCCTCCTCAGGGGCCACCACCATCCCGGGTCACAGCTCCCTCTTCTTTCCACCTTCCTTCGGGCTTGTCCCACCTCTGGTTTCTCCAGGGGCTCTCATTATCCAGCGGGTACTGGGAATATACTAGCAGAAGGCCCTGTCTTAGGCTAATCGCCCCAGAAACAGATCCTAGGATGAGGATTTTAGTGTAAAGGGCTCCGGTGGGGGTGGGTGGCTTCAGGGGGCCCTGGTTGAGGAGGGGAGCAGTGAGAGAGATGTGTTCATGAGCAGGTACTGCTGTGGACGCCTGAGGCTCACTGCCTGCCCCCCAGGGAAGCCCTTGGACACCAAGTAGAACACACAGGACATCCTCCCAAGGGGCGGGGGCTGGGCATATATCCGCCCACTCCCATCAGCCATTGGTCACCTCCCCACCGCCCCGCATACCTTCCACCACTGCTCCTGTCTGATTTTTTTGAAAAATTCGACTGGACTGAATGGACACACAGACACCCCTCGGCTATCCAGAGGCTTTGGGGGAGGAGCTAAGAGCTGTGCTTCCCCGACAGTGGGGCTGAGTCTTCACCCGCCAGCCCACCCAGCCTGTCTATGCACAGGGATGTGGTTCCCACGAGTGCCTCGCCCTTTTCTGTCAGAATATTCTGAGCCTTGGGGGAACTTCTGCAGGGAGCGGACTCTCAGCTGCGCCTCCCCAGAAGGCACTGCTGTGCACCTGAACTGAATGGCCCAGGGGTCTGGGCCTTTTGAGTTTCTGTAGGAGGCAGTGTGATTAGGGGGGGAGAGGGAGGGGGGCTTCAGAGCCAGCTGGACCAAGTGGACAATCCTGAGCACCACTGAAGTCACCAAAGTTTGCGCGCGTGTGTAAAATGGGCTCCTAACCTTACAGGACTGTGGTGAGGATTGAATGAGACAGTGTAAGTCCGTGAAATGTCTGGGCCGTGGTAAATGGGGACTCCCTGCTTCCTCTGCGGCTCCTCATTGTCCTTAGCATCTTTCTCTGGCTCCATGCCAAGGGTGACCCTTCCCCTTCCTTCTAATTAGGGGTCTTTGGTCTTTCACTGATTGGGAAAGCAGAAGGCAAAACTGTGAGAATTGTGTCTCCACTAAGAGTCAACAGGCCGTAAGGGGTTGCATCCTGGGTGTGCGCACTTTGCAACTTAAGTCTGCTTACTCAGGGGCCTTCTCCTACCTCTTTCGGTCCTTGGTCCCGGGCTGACTAACTGAGGCAGTCAGAACATTGAGTGTTCTGGGTAGGCAAGGCACTGGTAGATGAAGCTAAGGCTGCCCTCTTTTCTCCTTCATTCTGGTTTCATTGAGGCCTCAAACCTGTGGGTCCTGAGTCCCAGATTCGCTACTTCATGATCAATGCGCCCAACATCACTAAGAACTACATTTCCTTGGATATCAATGTAAGTGGGTCCTTGTCATTCCAGAGCTGGAGGCTGGTTGCCTCTAGAGTCCTCATGTTCTGTGAGATGCCTCAAAGAGCAGGGTAGTTGAGGGGAGATGGGCTGGAACAGCATTCCAGGCACGAGGCTTGGACGTGTGGCATCTCGGGTGGGTGGCCCTTAGCGCCCAAGTTCTGTGATGGAGCCATCTCCCTACTGATGTCTGCTGCTTGTTTCCTCTCTGCCTGCCCTCACAGGCTGTTCTCTTCCTTCTGGGCAAGCCCATCCTCCTGCCCGTGAATGACAACCCCTTTACGCTGCCGGAGCAGGTGGGCACTAGAGGTGCCATGGTGACCGTGGGCCTCTCCCAGGGCGTGTTTGACTCTGCCCTCCTGCTGCTGCAGAAGGCTGGTACCCTCAACCTGGACATCACAGGGGAGCTGGTGAGGGTCAGACCTGCTGCCCGGGGCATGTGGGGCAGGCATGTCCTGTGGCCCAGCCTGGGGAGACCCCCAGAAGCCAAACCATGGGCGGGTGGGGCGGCTGGAGCTTTAGGGTCACAGGGGGGATGTTGGAAGGGTTAAATGGGGGTTGCTGGGAGGCAGGACTCGGTCTAGCTGGGGAGCCGCCGCCCTAAAAGCTGTCATGGCATGCGGGACCAATTTCAGAATTCCAAGGACAACCTGCTGAACACCTCCATGCTGGGACAGGTCATCCCCGAGGTTGGTGACATTACTGGTCATTCAGAGACTAAGACCTGGGATTGGGGTGGGGGGCTCTCTGCTGGCTCATATCTAACCCAAGTGGGGTTTAGCATCTCCCCTTACATCGGCCCCGCACCCTCTTAGGCCGGGACCCTCCTGCCCAGCCATCACACTGTTCTCTCCCCCACAGAGAAGTAAGCCAAGCACTGTCCTCTGCTCGTAGTGTTCCTTCTATGTCCTTCCCCTTGTCCATCTTCAAGACCAAGCTCAGGACTTCCTCCCGGGAGGACCAACCCCCTAGTCTGGCTTCAGGAGGCTCCTTGACCTACCACGGCCCCTGAGCTACCCTCCCTCCTGGCACACACCACACAGGCTACGCCTGTCCTCATGCCTATTTCCCATCAGACAGGCGTCCCCAAGGCCAGGGGTCTAGGGCGGTCCCGCCTCTGTGGACTCATCACGTACCAGATAGCTTGATCGGCATCAGAGGAATGAGGAATGGAGAGCCCACCCAGCTTTTGCCCCCCTGTGGCCTCTTCCCTCTCTCCCTCTCTGCTTCCCCAGGTGGCCAGCCAGTTCCCTGAGCCCATGCCCGTGGTGCTCAAGGTGCGGCTAGGCGGCACACCTACGGTCACAATCCACACCGACAACGCCACAGTGCAGCTGAGTCCTTTCATCGAGGTCCTGGCTGTGGCCTCCAACTCGGCTTTCCACTCCCTTTTCTCCTTCAACGTGGTGAGTGAGGTGGGCGGGGCGGGGCTGGCCAGGAGGGTGTGGACCCCCAGGGAGGCCTCACTTCCTGCCCCAGGCTCCTCATTTGCTCCGCTCTGTCCACACTGGTCTCCTCGTTATTCCTTCGATGTTCCAGGATATTTCTGCCTCAGGACCTTTGCACACATCATACCCTGTGCCTAGGACACTCTTCCCCTGGCTCTTGGCATGGCTGGCTTTTCAGGTCTCAGCTTAAATGTCGTGGCCTTCCTTAGGGCAGCCTCCCAGGACCACTCTGAGGAAGATGGTCCCTGTCAGCCAGCTCTCTCCACGTTCTCCACGCCACCACTCTGCCTTCATGGCACCCACTACTCTCTGAAAGAATGCTATCTGGTTACTTTAGTTATTGTTCACCACCCCCATTGGCGACCTGTGCCCCACAAGTACCTGAATGAGCGGGGCATGGGTGGGAGTCAGGCGTGACTGGCGGCCAGCTGTAAGGCTTCACACGGCCCTGTGCCCTTTCACTCAACCAGACGGTGAATCTTAGCCTCCAGCTCTTTGTGTCCAAGGTGAAGCTTCAGGGGACCGTGTCTGTTTTGGGGTAAGTGAGTTCTCAGTGTGGTCCTCTGCGCAATGAGCTCGAAAGCACCCATCACAGAGCTTTGGGTGCAGCAGCCGTGGCAGGAGGGTGGTGGGTGTTGCCCCCTGCTGCCAGCCCTCCTGCTTCCCTTTCAGGGGGATCCAGCTCACCGTGGCCTCTTCCAATGTGGGTTCCATTGAGGTAAGTGTGGGGCTGGGGTCTCCAGAGACCCCTCACTGGGTGGGGCAGGCCATGAGCCCGGGGAAGGGGGGTGTGCGTGTGTGTGCTTGTGCATGCACACGCCTGTATATGCTGCCACAACCAGGCTCCCTGGTGGTCAGGCACCTGGGGTGCCTGGGACAGTGGTCAGTTGGTGGCCCATCCATCAACAATCAGCCTTTCCCATGATGCCTCTCTGCTGGTCAGCCATTCAGTCAGCCTTGGCTCTTTGAGGGGGGCGGTCAATCAGTTGGTCTGCCTGTCACTCTGGCTGGTTGTCAACAACCTGTCAGCCCAAGGATCACTGACACCATTGATAAATTGGACAAGCCAGTGTCAGATGGTGTCAGCCGCTCCTTCAATCAGGTGACACGGCTGGGCCTCCATGCTTCCCTTCATCCTCTGGTCTGCAAGTCAGTATGCCCCAGCAGTCTTTCTATTGGTCAGTCCAGCTTTCAGGCAGTGCCAGTAGGACAGCCAGCCTCCTGTTGGTCACACAGTGAGTGAGTGTCAGTCAGCCAGGTGCTCGCCTCTCAGCCCTTCCACAGGCGGGTGGTTCCTGGGTACCTTATACTCAGAAGGCTGACCTGACCCTGCGGGTAGCCGGTCTCTGCTTGAAGCTGGGACAAGAGTGACCTGCCCTCTTCCCTCCCCCGTTCCTGCGCTGTCCGTGTTTCTGTCTGTGTGTTCACGTGTGGCCTGCTTGTCTGTCTCGCCCGACCCTTTGCTGGGCGGGCCTCATCCCCGTGGCTCTGTGGCTGTAGACGTATAAAGTGCACACGCTCATAGACACCGTGTTCAGGAAGCCCCTGCTGGACCACCTCAATGGTAAGCCCTGCCCTCCCCCCAGTCTGGCCCTTTGGCCCCCTCCTGCTCACACCTGCTCCAGGCTCTGTCCCGGCCCCTCTCCCATCTCCAAGGTTCAGAGGGTAAGAGGGTGGCCTCAGGAGCCCAGCCTCCTATGTGGGCCTCTTGGCTTGGCTGTTCAGCAGCTGTGTGATCTTAGCTAAGTTCCTTTCCCTTTCTAAGCCTCCACATTCCCTTCTGCAAAGTGGGTGTAATAATAATGGCTCCCACCTCTTGCGTATCTGTGGAACTCAGTGTCGCAATGCGCATGAGGACTTCAGCACACAGCGGGCTCCAGACGATGCTCCATCACTGCCTTCCAGCTGAACTTGGTTTCTCTTTCCCTGCCTGCAGCGCTCTTGGGCATAGGGATTGCCCTTCCCAACGTGGTCAACCTAAATTATGTCACCCCTGAGGTCTTTGTCCAAGAGGTGAGAGCCTGTGGGTATGACTCCTCAACCCTTGGAGGGAAGCTGGGCTCCACGGTGTGGGTGTCACCTCTTCCTCCCTCCCTGCTAGTGCACACAGTGGGACCTTGAGGTCAGCCGGTCCTGGGGGTGCTCCCTGCCAAGGCCACGCCACCAGATGGGAAATCCGGGATGTGAAGAGACACTGGAGGGAGGGTTTCACTAGCACTTTAGTACTCATCAAATGTCACACCAGGCCACAGCCAGGGGCCTTCAATTGTCGCTTGATTCTGTGCCCTGGATGATCACAGCCCCTTGGTGTCTGGGGCAGAATGACAAAGGGGCCCCTCTGCATACAAACCTCTGCAGGCTGGATGGGAGAAGGGGCTTCCCGACCCTTCTAAAATTACTTTCCCGGATCAGAAATTGTGGGCCCAGAGTGACACTGATCACACAGCTGCCCTGGGTGAGACCCCACAGCTGCTTTCTGTTTTACCCTGGACATAAGAGGATAATATTCTTTCGAATTTACTCAACAACGAGACACGATAGGGCGGCAATCTTAGCCGATGTCCCTCAAGTCCAACGTCTGGGTGTTATGGACCCCTCTCCCTGAGTGAGAACCACTGATATATTTCCAGGGAGCATGTCCTTGTTGCTTAAGAACTATGTTCCCAAGGCACTTGGGTGATGCACCCCCCAAGAAGGAACAATAGGCACACGGAGCAGCCAGGGCTGTTACTGGGAATTTCCCCACGACTCCTCCGAACAGGCATGGGTAGTGGCGGACCCACAGATCCCGCCAGCAGGGTCTGGAGTCCAAGGTCCCTACACCGGGGCTGGTTAATAGGACTTTCTGCCAGGATGGAACTCTGCACTGTCCAGGACAGTAGCCACTGTCAGCCACTGGGCACATGTGGCTATTGGGCACTTGAAATGGGGCCAGTGCAACCGAGGAGCTGAATTTTTAATTTTATTTAGTTTTAATGTTATTAGCCACAGGTGCCGAATGGCTACCATATCGGATGGTACAAGAGCTCCACATGGGACTTGGTCTGGCTTCCTGTCTGCTGGGTTCCCCATCACTTGCCACAGGGCTCGGCTCGCACAGTAAAGCTGTGCTAAATGACTGAATGATGAGCAGGCCCCCCGGGTGTTTCTGCGGTGCACTGTAGAGAGGAGAAGACATACAGGGAGTGCCTGGCTCTGCTGGGGAGACGTGGACTTGGAGGGGACACTCGGTGGTCTGGACTCCCAGCCATAAAACTGAGATGGTGCTGACCATGTGTGGACGCGTTTTGTGCAGGCCCCGTGCTGAGAGCCCTGCCTGCGTGGTCTCACTGCATTCTCGTGGTAACATTTTTGAGGTGGGCCCAGAGAGGCAAAGGACTGTCCTCAAGACACAGAGCAAGAGTGACAGGGCATGAACTCAGAGCCAGGCTGATGGGATGACAGAGAGTCCTACGGGTCCTCGTGTGGCCTCTGACTTGGCCCATGGCTTTCTTTGCCTTTCAGGGTTACGTGGTGTTATCCAGTGGACTCTCCTACCAGCACTGAGGCGGGATGACTGGGAAGGCTAAGAGTGGGCCAGCTCCCTGCTTTGGGGGCCCCTCTCATCTCAAGCCTCTTGGAAAACTGAGGCAAAGCCACACGTAGCCATCTCCAACAAGCTATATGGCCCAGGCGGGCTGTTTAATCTTTGCTGCGTGCCTGGATTCCTCTCCTTCACACCCCCCGTCCTGTCCCTTCTCCTTTAACCCTCCCCTCTTCCATCATCTATCCCCTCCTCCCTCCAACACCCCTCACTGTGGGGAGCGCATTGCCCCTCCAGGCTGTGCAGACCTGTGCCCTCCTGTATTAAATATCTTCTCTTGAGCTGCAACTTCCAGCCAAACCCAGCAAACTCTTTGATGACCGTTTCCTATGTGCAGTTCCTGGGCCCCGTCTGTCCCTGGAGCCACCAAAACTGCCCAGGAGAGGAAGAAGACGGGACCCCACCTCTATTGTCCTCCTTGACCTCCTCGCCCAGGGGAGCTCATGTTTTGAAAGAGGACCGTGGGGAATAACCCAGACGACCTGGAATCACGACCACCATAGTGGCCCTTTAGGCACTGTGCCCCACCTGGCGGCATGCCCCACGCCTTCTTCCCCCTCCAGCATCGCATCTCACCTTGTTGCTAGGATCCCATAAGAGCCCTATGAATCAGACAGGCAGGATGTGATGTCCCATTTCACAGATTCAGGGACCGAGGGATCCAGTGAGGAGAGAAACGCAGCCAGAGTCTTAGAGCGGGATGGTGGCCGATCCCCAGGACTGTGACTATGCTAGAATCCAGGCATGAGACATCCGCTTTCCTCTTCCATTCACCAGCACCTCCGCCTGGGTTTTGTCCTTGAGTCATGAACCCCAGGTGTCAGGGAGTTCCCTGCCTTCTCACAAGCTTCTCCATCCCTGGTTTACTTGTGAGCAACATTTTTGTTCGAAGGAGGCAAGATCCTCCTCCTGAGCTGACAGCCTCACTGAACATGTCTAAGTTCCTTTCCCTCCAAAAGCTCTTCTACCGCAGCGGGTCACACATGACAAGATGGCCCTAGGGAAGGAAGACCGAGGGACGCAATCACGAGCGACCTGTGCCCCCACCCCCGAAAGCTGATCTTTTAGCTAAAAACATGTATAGATACACAGGATTCCTTCCTGCCTAGAGATACAGGATTTGTGCTTTGTTTGTTTCCCTGGGGAGTAAAATGTGCCCGAATTTCCACCACCAGAGAATGAAGTCTCCGGTACTGCGTGGTACTAACCCCTCCTTCTGTGTCGGCTCATCCCTAAAGTCTCAGTGTGACAAGCTGGGGGCTTGGAGCCAGCACAGAGTCTGGGTGGTGAGGAGGAGATGGGGCGGAGCTGAGGGAGAGGCAAGGGCAGACTGTAAAGTCCAACCTCGTAATTTTGCTCAGGACAGCATGGCCTTTATTTCATTTGGTCACTTGTTAATTAATTCATTAATCCCACTTTTACTGGGGTTTAATATAGGCTCAGCCCGAGGCTGAGGTGGTTTGAAATATGGGAGACAAAAATTTTAAGGCACAGACCCAGCCTATGAAGGTGTGACAAAGATCACGTGTTCAATATGTAAGGTCCATCCATTAAGCAGACAGTCCAGGGATCCAATCTTTCTTCCATCTATTCATCTACCCACCTATCAGTCCACACACCCACGCATGCATTTGTCCATCCATCCATCCATCCATCCATCCATCCCGTCATTCACACATCCACTCATTTATCCAATCACTTTTGCCCATCACCTAGGTCTTTGTTTGTACCCACGATGTACTGTGTTCTACACACTCTTTTAGGAGCATGGGGAAGAAGTGCCCGAGTCAAGCTCTGTGTCCAGAAGGAAGCTATGGTCTGTAGAAAGAGAGACCTAGCTCAGTGAGAAGGGGACACAGAGTGTGGCAGCCTGTGTCTGATCAGAAGGTAGAAACCACATAGTAGCTTAAACGGGGAACATCTAATATGAAGAATTATTAACTATGGGAAAACAAGAACTAGAAATAAACTGTATGCTACTCTGAGGCAGAGGGAGAGTACCCAAGGAAGGAAAAGCTTGGAAGGGCTCAGACCTCACTGGAGAGAGAGGGTGTCGTTCAGCCTCCTGGGTGGCAGAGAAGTTTGCCGCTTTGGCCGGGCTGCAGCTGGCCCAGGGGTGCTGGGCAGACCATGGGCGGCTGAGACCTTCTGTGTGCATTTGCAAGCAGCATTGGGGGGGAGGGGAGAGAGGGAAGGTGGGGGGTCGTGCTGGCCATTTCAGTGTCTGTTCTGTGTGTGACCACGCAGGGGTGCTTATGGAGGTGGCCAGGCACTGCATGGGCAAGAGGCCTTCAGGGTAGGTGGGCCAGGGTGGGGCAGGGACGAGCCCTCCGGTTCCCGTCTGGAAAGGGCTGCGTGTGGAAAGGCTGACCCCAGGCCACGGCTGCCAGGTTACGGAGGGATCTCCAGGAAAGGCTCTCTGTTTCCTTAAAATAATTTTATTTTTATTTATATCTGGCCATGGGAACTTGGTTGAGACCGCTTTACTTTGAATTTAGGGTAGCAGAGAATGGCATGACTGTCCTTTTCCTGCCCAGCATTACTATTGTTATTCTGCCCACTCATCATAAAGAGCATAAGACAGCAGCTTAGGGAGGTTCGGGGGCTGGGGCCCAGACCCTTGAACCCATGCAAAGAGGTTTCTGCAGCCTCCCCCACCCTGTGTCCTTCCGCTCTCCTTCACCCCCCAATGCCCAGGATGGCTCTGGGAGGAAGCAGGGAGGGGCCCGGTGACCAGAGGCGCACGGGGGTGGATTTGCTTGCAGGAGGAGGTGAGGCCTGCCTGCCCCTCAGTCACTGGGGGCGGACCCACAGGGATAAAGCGATGCTATCTGTAGACTTGATTCTCCAGCTCAGGTCCCAGATCAGGATGGGGACTGGGCTGGGCCAACCTGGGTTCTCTTACCTTGTCCCAACCCTGGTTTCAGCCCCTCTGACGTGAGGCAGGGCCCTGCCCACCCCCCACCATGATGGCCCCATATGCAAGGTGGGCACGTAGCTTCCTCAGCCTTTCAGACGTGTGGGTTCCCTGCGGGGTGGGGTGAGGACACCCTGAGGCACCCAGTAGCCCTTTTTCAAGCCCTCCCCAGCCAGGCCTCCCAAGGGCATCATGGAGAATAGAGCCGAGGCTGGGTATCCCAAGACCTTCTAGCCTCAGCTCTGAGGTCAGCTCGCTGTGTGGCCACTCAGCCTTCATTGCCCTTCAGCTCTGGATATAGTGAGAAGCCCCACCCCACCCCCTGGATTTTATCATCTCCTGGCATCTCCTCCAGGAGCTACCCCACCAAGCAATTAGCTCCTTGTGCCCCTTGCGAGTCTCAGAGGGGACACAAGTTCTGATGGTCCAGCCAATATCTCCCAGGCCTTTGCCCTTGGCAGCCCCCTCCCGAAACACCTTTGCCTGCCTTGTAGAGCTGGCTCTGCTCACCCTCCGACATCAGCTCCAACACCCCCTGCTCCGGCAGTCTTCGGCTCTGACCACAGTCCTCTTCTTCCCTCCCTGCCTGCCCCCCAGGTTCCATGGCTTCCACCACTTTTACTCCTGGGGATGACCTGGCTTTGTGGCTGTTGACTTGCAGTGTTCATCTCCCTGCGTAGTGCCAGGAGCCCCCTCAGGACAAGAACTCAGCTGCTTGTTCATTGAGGCATCCCCATAGCCCTGCACAGGCCTGGCACAGAGTAGGTGCTCATTATTGAGCAAATACTTGTGTATTTGTGGAAGGGACAGAAGAGTGCCCACTGTGTGCCCAGTCTGGTGGGAGGTAAGGGGGCAGTGTGAGCCCTCATGCCTTCTCTGGTGACCACTTCTATCCCTTACTCCTACCCTCCTCCTGGGTTCCCAACCTCCTTTGTCCTCTGTGCTATTTACGTTGGAACAGACTAAAGCGTCACGTGAGCATCGGGGCTCCTGTTCTTTAGGCCTCTAGATAACTATCTGGGCCTTATTAAAGCCTTAATTATCCAAGCAGCTAATCAGGCGCCCAAATATAAGGGCTTCTTCATCCCCAGGGTTCGGAGGCAGGCTCAGTCATCTGCAGGACGTCCCCAGGCTCAGCAAGGTAAGGACAGGCCCACCTATGGAACTCTCCCCAGAGTGTGTCTTATCCAGGCCTGGTGACTTACAGATGAGAACACTGAGGCCCGGGGAAGGGAAGGGGCTTTCCTGAGATCACACAGCAAGTGAGCAGACTCAGGGCTTAGTTCTCTGTCCTGATCGGAAGCCACTGGACATTGCAGCCTGCAGGTGCTGTAGGACTTCGGAAAGATCCGGGAGGCAGCGGGTCCGAGGGGCAGCGTTGAGCTCCATCTGAGGCCCAGGTCCTGCTTTGCAGGAGCTCAGAGCTGAGCTGGGACAATGGGGCAGCAATGCGGGGATAAAGGAGGTGGTTGGTGCATCTAAGAACATTTGCCAGGCCAAGAAAAGGAAGAACTGCATGTGGAGGAAAACACATGAGTGAAGAACGTGGGTGGGAGCAGCAGGAAGCACTCGTTTGGGGGCAGGACGGGCTGAGATCTTTGAGGACAAGGGGCAGTTGGGGGTCGAGGGGAGGCTTCCCGGTGGGGAGGCAGAGGCTGAAAATAGGTCTTGAGGGATAAGCAAATTATGGAGGGTGCAGGGAGGGCAATTTAAGAGGGAGGGACGGCTTAGGCAAAAGTATAAGGACAGTCAGAAACAAAACCCTGACACTGACTGTCCCAGAAATGCCCACCTGACCACATTACCCCCAACTATGTAGTATTTTAGGAGGGCAAAAAAATCCTGCCCAGAATGGCCTTAACACCTGGCATCAGTTCTGGCCTGGAAGTGGGAGCATGGAATGGTGCTCAGTCTCAGGGTTCAGTCTCCCCACCTGGGAGATGGATCTGGGGCTGGAGGAGACCTCTGCCAGGCCCCTCCCTGCTCTGTCACCTTGGCACTGAACTTCACAGTCCCTCCAGGTTCGATTTTCAAAGAGATTTGACACTGAACATGCATATGCCCGGCACCTTTCCGTGGCACACGCTTGTGTTCATGGGGTTGAGGAAACACCAAGATTGCTTATTTTCAACCCAGATAGATATTTAAATGCTGAATGAAATGAGAAAGAAACTTATCCTTTCGCTTAACAAATATTGATTACAGGATTGAATGGTCTGCCCTGGCTTTTTAAATGGTCACCTCCCACCCCCATCACACACTCTCTCTTAAAACACACACACACACACACACACACACACACACACACACACACACACACACAATGTATCGCATTCTATCGTTTCTCTCTAAGATTCAGGAGGAGCAGGACTATTTGCCATATCTACCTTTTAGCCTGGTCTGCCCGTTGCACAGTAGGCGCTCGATAAATGTGAGTGGAATGAATGAATGAACAAACGAGTGAGTGAGTGAACGGGCTTGAACTAGGTGCCCATCTCCATCTGTGGATCAGTGGAGCCCTCGGTGGCCTGAGCCTGCTGTCAGCAGGAGCCCAGCTGGAATGCCCCGTGTGGGTGACACAGGCCAGGCCCTGTGGCCCCTCCTTGTTCTTTTCAGCCGCAGCTCAAGCCTGAGATAAACACGTGGCCTCTGGTTGGGAGAAACTGAGGTCTTGGTAAGTGGGAGGAAGGGACTTCTGCAGGGTCGGGGTGGAATGGGAACTTGGAAGGGTCTGGATAGGGAGGTTCTTACTCAGTTCTCTGTTCACTGGGTATGAGACTCAGGGATGTGCCTCAGTTTGCCTATTGGCGAAGAGTGTTTCAGGAGGCCTTAAGCGGTCAGGAGCTGAGATTTCTGGAAGTGAGACTGACATGAAAGAAGTGGGGGATGCCGCTGGCTGCAGTGTCAAGGTGGGGGAGGGGGGTTCCCTCATTCCCACACTACAGTAGGAGTTTCCTGAGTCGGGACCAGGTGGGAATCCCCTCTGTGGCCCCCACACTGCCTGGAATTGAGCTGCACTTGAACTCATGAAAAACTGCAGCTGAACCTCCCACCAACCCCATAGTGCAGACTGGTCAGAATGTATCATGCCCACAGATGAGGAGACAGGTTTAGAGAGGGAAGTGACCGGATGGGTGTGACCCCAGAGGTCCTGTCTTTGATCTGGACACCCTTTGACCCCTCTGGAAGGCAGTAATGAGGTTTGCTTAACCAGCTGGATTCCAAAGACTCCTGCACCCTGGACATCACCCAGGGAGTCTGGTCTGCTCTGGAGCATGGGAGGTCTCCAGGGGAAGCAGGGTCTGCAGGGCTGCACCCAATCCGGGCCCCGTGGCACAGGTGGAGCCATGCTGCGGGTCCTGTGTCTGGCACTCTGTGGACTACTGACCCACACGCGAGCGGAGCCCGGGGCGCTGCTGCGGCTAGGCATGGACATCATGAACCACGGTGAGCTGGCAGGCCCAGGGTTGGGGGGTTGGGGGGATGAGGGGCCGGTGGGTGGGATGGGGCATGGGTGGTAAACAGTGACTGTTCATGTTTGCATGGCCTTGCGCATCCCGGGATCCTCATAACACACTTAGAAGCAAAATGGGGTGACATACCCCAGGTCTCTTCACAAGTTGGGGGCACAGCTGGAAATCCTGTTTCCCTGGAGCCTCTCCTAGGCTCTGAAGGCAGCAGTTGGTGGCCACAAGTGGGCGGGAGGAGTGACAGACATAGCAAATCCCAGGTCGCCCAATAACTTGCTGTGTGACTTCAGGCAATGGACTTACCCTCTCTGTGCTGCTGTTTGCATACCTGTCAATTCAAAGAAATGGCCAGTCTTTGCCTGGAAGAATCAAAGAAAATATGAGACTAAAATCGCCTGAAGGAACTAGAGTGGAAATTTATTTTCCATCTTTGAGCTCTGTGACTTCCAGAGAGATGGAGTCCCATCCAGATGTAAAGCGCTACTGACAGTCCAACCAGCTCTGTAATCACCTCCTCTCTGGGAATTAGCCTGCAACCATCATGGAGGTGCTTCAGGCACTGCTATTTGGGGTTGGAGACTCCAGGTGTGGGGAACCAGAAAGCCTTGGCTTCAGGCACAGAATCTGCATTTTCACACCATCCCAGATGAGTTCGCTAATCATACAGCTGTGAGAGCGGCCGGGGGCCTCCATAATGTGCCCCCTGCTCCAGGCTCTCTGTCATATCCCTCCATGCCGCATTTCACACTCCTTCCTCACCATGCCACCTGTATCCCCCTCCCTGACCTTGGCACTTGCTGTGCTCTCTGCCTGGAGTAGCACCCCTTATCCCTTTGCTTCCTGGTGAAAGTCCCTATTCATCTCTTAAGGACCAACTGACATGTCGCCTCCTCCTGGAAGCCTTCCCGAACTACTTTTTTTTCCTGGCCCGAACCCTTCACATGGTTCTTCCAGCTGCCTGGATTTATTATGGCTTTTGTCACCCATTACTGACGTTTCTGGTGACTCTGTCTCCCCCTTGAGGCTGGAGGAGGGCTGGGCATGACTCGACTCTGGGTCCCTGGATCATAAGGGAGGGGCACAGTGACTTCGAAGCACAGAGTGGCACCACGTGTAAGTGACCTGGGCCTGGGAGGCCAGAGAAATTGGCCCAGAGCAGGGAAGCAGCGAAGATCCCAGCCGAGTGTCTCTCTGACCCTGCCCGCTTCCAGAGGTCCAGAGCGCCATGAACGAGAGTCGTATCCTGGAGAAGATGGCAGCCGAGGCGGGCAAGAAGCGTCCGGGGGTGAAACCCATCAAGGGCCTCACTGAGTAAGCAGGAGAGGGGCTGTGTGTGTGTGTGTGTGTGTGTGTGTGTGTGTGTGTGTGTGTTTGGGGGGGGGTGATGGCTAGGGCAGAGGGTGGGGGGAGTGCCATGCCAGGACCTGAGAAGGCAGGTGGGACAGTGAGTGCAGGGTATGGGACCTCTTTCTTGCCTTGTTGCTGGCTTGCTCTGAGGCCCTGGGCAGGTCACCGCTCCTGCCTGGGCCCCAGTCTGCATGGTCGTCCTTTGAGGACAATTTCTGGCCTGTTGTGAGCAGGGTCACTGTGAGGAAGTGAGGTTGAAAGTCACACTCCAACTCATTGCAAGCGCCACATGGGTTTGATTGGTAGGGGCTGCCTGGAATAACGTCCTGGGGAGGCACTCTCTGGACTGAGCAGGAAATAGGACTGCACTCAATTAGCAATGTCTGCCAAGAGCTCAGGATGGGCAGGTACATGTAGATGTGCCACAGCTCTGCTATCCTGGACTCAGACTGGAGGTTTTCAGCCAGGGGTGATTTTCCCTCCAAAGGCATTAGGTAATGTCTGGAGATGTTTTTGGTTGTCCTGACTTGCTGGGGTGGGGGTGGGAGGTGCCTCTCATGGGTAGAAGCCAGAGATGCTACTAAACATCCTACAGGTGCACGGGACAGCTCCCCACACAAAGAATTATCCCACCAGAAGTCAGTAGTGCCGAGGGTGAGAAACTCTGAGCCTAGTAAACCTCCCCACTTTGCAACAATGAGGAAACTGAGGCTGAGAGAAGGGAAGGGTGCAGGTCAAGGTCACACGGTCAGCCTGGTATCTTAACTCATACATAATGAGTGCTTTCTCTGTACAAAGTGGTTCATGTTCAACCTTTTGTTTGTGTTTTATGGTGGGTCCTAAGGCAGACTCATCCCTAGAACATGGGGTAGGGGATTTACCTAAGGCCTCCCAAGCATGGAGGTGGAGGAGCAAGTCGAGGGCCGGGCGAGGTCTCTTCTGCCTGGTTCTCACTGCTGTGGATGTCTGTCTCCTCCCAGTATAAAGGTCAAGGATGTGAAGCTGCCTGTCATCACACTGAGCTTCACCCCAGGGGTGGGCATCTTCCAATGTGTATCCACGGGCATGACCATCACTGGCAAGAGGTGAGTACGGCAGGGGAGGAGAGGAGGGAAGGAGAATGGTATCCTTGTCTCACTCTTACATGCATTTATTGAGTACCTACTGTGTACCATCTGGGTGCTGTGGTCTAAGATGACACAAACTTGATTCCTACCTTTGATGGAAATCAGACCTGAGCAGATGATCATAGAATGAATGATTAACCTAGGACAGAGGACCCATTGGAAGGGTAAGGGGATCAGAAAAAGCCTTTTGGAGATGATGAGAGCTGAGCAAGGTTCTGAAGGATGTGTCAGAGTTCACCAAAGCCAGAGGGGAGAGGAAAGACTGGTTTTGTGACCTTGGGTAGGCCCCACCCCCTTTTTGTCCTGTGTGGGTGGTCCCCACCCTTTTCCCCTTCCAAAGCAGCTGAGAATGTGAACAAAGAGGAGATGAGGAAAGCTGCCACAGTGGAGATATACCCATGATGTCTGCCTGCTCTTTCCTCCAGCTTCATAGGCAAGAACATGGAGATCACCGTGGTCTTGAACATCACAGCCACCAACCGGATTTTGCAGAATGAGGAGACGGGCCTCCCGGCATTCAAGAGTGAGGGCTGTGAGATCATCCTGATCAGCGTGAAGACCAACCTGCCTAGCAAGTGAGGGGCTCTGCAGCTGGGGAGGAAGGCCGGGATCACGTTGTGCCCCACCCCGACTCAGCCTCCCACTTCCTGAGCCATGGCCCTTTCTCAGTTGCATCCCTGTATGTCCTGTCCTAACCTCCTACCATCTGTGTCCCATCCCTATTTTCTGCTCCCAGAATGATGCCTAATGTAATCAACAAGTTCCTGGACAGCACCCTTCACAAAGTTCTCCCTGGCCTGGTGAGTGCCCAGAGTGAGCCTCTACCCTCCACCCACAGGAGCGCTTAGACCAGGGCTGGTAGGTGCATTTTGTCTCAGGTGCTGACCCTGGTTGACTGATAGTGGCTGAGGAGGAGTCTGAGGTGGTGGCTGGCTCAGAGGGAGACAGTGCCGTGATCATCTAGTGATGTCTGCCTTGAGCACAAGATAAGGAAGCGATATTCTGCACATTAGAGTTTGCCAACCCTGCCCAGATTACCAGTCACTGGGAGTTCATCCTCACTGATCTTGCAGGCTGGGGCCAGGAGATCTGGGTTCTAGCTCAGGCTCCTCCATTGACTTTCCACATGACTGTGGCCTCAGTGGCCCCCTCCAGTCCCTGTCCCTCCAGGGCTCTTGGGACTCCCTGTGGAGTCCCTCCAGCTGTGAAGAGTGAGGCTGTCCATGTGGGAGCCCCATCAGCACCTTCTCTGCTTCCAGATGTGTCCAGCCATTGATGCGGTCCTGGTGTACGTGAACAGGAAGTGGGCCAACCTGAATGGTGAGTAGACCCAGCCATGCCGTGCTTGGGACATCAGGATGGGTGGACTTTGATGCCCCATTCAAGTGCCTGCTCCCCATTCAAGTGCCTGCTCCCAACCCTGCCTGGGGACTAGAGGAGGACTGAGGTCATGGTGTCTGTCTTTCCTTCCACTGTCCAGATGGGGAGCCTGAGACCCTAAAGAACTAGCTGGGGTCCTAGCTTCCTCTGAACAGCAATACCTCTTGTGGTGATACCTCTTCCCTTTGCCAAGAGGAGCTGTGGTCTCCCTCATCTCAGGGTTCCCAGACTCTCCGGTGTGGGGGAGAGGAAAGCCCAATAGCTGAGAGTGGAGAAGATGAGTTTGTGTGCCCAGCAGTGTAGCCCAGGATAAGTCACTTCACTCCTGCGAGCCTCAGTTTGCTCATCTGTCGCAGAGAGCTGATACCCCTGACACTGCCAGGCTGTGGGGAGAACTGGGCTGTGACAGCCCTTGGCCAACTGCGAGGTGGCAGGGTTTTCCAGGTCAGGCGCCAGTGTCTCCATTCTACACATAAAATTACTGAGGCCCAAGGTTGCTGAGTGATTTGCCTTGGGTCCCACCAGGGCGAGGGTTCCTGGCACGCAGGTCAGGCTCAGGCGAAGGTTGGCTGATGCCGGCTTCTCTGAGCTGCCTCCAGGTTGGCACCTAAGCAGAACCTCCCCTTTGTCCAGCCCCCATGCCCATAGGCCAGATGGGCACTGTGAAGTATATCCTGACATCCAAGCCAACCACCACAGCCAGCTACATCCAAGTGGACTTCAGTGTAAGCACCAGGGAGTCACTGGGAGGCTGGGGTCTCAGGCTCATCAGCCTGAGGGGTGGGGGCTGTCTAGGGCTGTGGTCCTTGCAGACCCGGCCCACCCAGAAGATCTTTCTCTGACACTGGGGTTCTTTCCCTCTTTATGCTCTGAGTACCTGAGCTGATTTCCTGGGACTGCCAACTCCACACTCGCACCCTCTCCCAAGGCTGCTTGCTTCTCCCAGTGAGTGGCTCACCCAGTTGTACCATACCATTCATTGTACAGACAGGAGCAGTGAGACCTGGGAGGAGGCAGGGCCTAGCTGGTGTTCCATCATGAGTCAGTGGAGCAGTTGGGTCCTCACTTAGGTTTCCGGAGCTGCAGGTGACTAGGTGAGATGCACCTTCCAGGAATGGGAAGAAAAACCCCAAGTTATCTCTCTGCCAAGTCTTCTTCCAGTGTGGTTCTTACAGGCCTCACATTATTTTCCACTTACTACCCTTTTCTTCTGAGAATAAAATAGAAAACCTGTTCTGCATAAATGAGGGCTCGGCCCGTCAGAGTCAGATTAACAGGTTACTTAATCCCAGGAGAAACTGCAGTGGTCTAGTGACTGACTTCCTCCTCCTAGCAGGTATCTGTCTACCCATCTGCACCTGGGATGCTGAGCCACTGCAGCCTGCTCTGGCGGTAACAGCTGATGACTTGCTGACTTAGGGCTGGTTTGAGTGCCATTAGTTTGGAGGACTGAGGCTCACCCCTAGCCACAGTCCCTCATGGCCAAGGCTGAGTGTCTCTTTTCTGCCGTCCCACAGCCTGTGGTGCAGCAGCAAAACGGCAACACCATTCAGCTTGCTGATGGGGGAGAGGCCCCTGAGGACTACGTTGAAGGCTCTTCACAGCTGCTGCTTTCAGCTGCCCTCCTCACAGCAGAGCTTGCCCTTCTGCAGAAGTCCTTTGATTTGAACACCCAGGACAGGAGGGTGAGCGGCTCAGTGCCACACGCCCCTCCGTCTGCCTCTGCCCCCTGTAATGACAGTCCCTGTCTGGTGTGTTCATTCTTAGAATTATCCTAAGGGGTTGTGGGCAACATTAGGACTAGGAGATGCCAGGAATGATTTAGGTTCCTGGCATGAGTTAACCCGGATGTCTACCATCTCTCTCGTCCATCCATCTGAGAACCACCATGTACTCAGTGGTATAGTGGTTCCATGTAACCACTATCCATCCATCCATCCATCCATCCATCCATCCATCCATCCATCCATCCATCTATCCCTACTGATCCATCCATTCATCCTTCCATCCATGTACCCACTATCCACCCATGTACCTTCCCACCCATTCATTAATCCATCCATTATCCATTCTTTCATTTATTTATTATACTTTTCCATCATCTTTGCATCCATCCATCCTCCCATTCATTATTCTTTTTATTCTTTCATCTACCTGTCTGCCTTTCCATCTATTATTCATTCTTTTACATAAACATTCCCCTGTCCTTGCATCCTCCTGTCCACTGCCCCCACTTATCTCTTTATCCCTTTTCCCCATCCATCTATCCATCCATGAATCCACCCATTTGCGCCCCCCCGCCACACACACACCCACTACGTCCACTCGTTGCCATCCACCTGCCTATTGTTTCATCCATTTTCTCAGTGTTTACTCATGTGCTGAGACCGATGGGCACTGGAATGTGTAAGCCATAGTCTGGGCTACCTAGGACTTCATCATCTACTCAATCACAGAGGGACAAGTGTTTTGATGAAGGGACCCTCAGAGGGCCCACCTGATTGAGTCAGAAATGTTGTTAGGATGGGTCAGGGAAGGCTTCAGGAATCCTAACCTTCATTTGCACTTTGTAGGTTGGTAAACTGCCCCCTCAAACCACTGAGACACTGGCTGGCTTCCTCCCTGAAGTGAGTGCCCCAACTACCCATGATTACATCTTGCCCTGCTCTGTTCTCCTGTAGTTGAAGGGACAAAAAAACTGGGGAGGCAGCTTTTCACTGCTCACCTCCCTTGTCCAGGGTGGAGTCATCTGGACTTCTTCAAAAAGTACTCTTTGGGTCAATGTTAGTGCATTTTATATCCAATGTCCAATATAGAAATAGCCAGAGGGTCTGTTTTGTTCATTTCATTGTCTGATAGTCACATCTCAGACTTTGCAGGTTGTACTTCTTCTGCAAATAGGAATCACCTATTTCATGATGGACTCCTGGTTTCAATGGAAGCCACCAGGCTGAGGGTTGGCTCTGAGGGGCATTTCCTGGTTTCTGTAGGTGGCTAAGGCCTATCCCAAGCCGAAGCCCTTGGTGACTCAGATTAGGATAAACAAGCCCCCCAAGGTCATCATGAAGACAGGGGAGAGCCTGCTGCACCTCCATGGCACCCTGGAGATGTTTGCAGCTCGGCGGCGGCACAAAGCTCTCGTGTCCCTCTTTCTCCTGGAAGCTGTGAGTGGAATCTGTTCCCCATTTTAGCCCAACCTCTTGGAAGGTGGGATTTTAGTTAATAGGCAAGTAATGGATTGAAGAATTCTTAGCTCATCTCAATTGTGTGGCCCTAACCTCTCAAGACCTTGCGACCTGGTGTTTGATTATTGGCTCTGCCATTGGAACTTTGAGTGGCTAGAAATATCAACAGTTTAGTCCTTCCTTTTTCTCTCCTCCCTCCCTCCTCATCCTTCCTCCCTTCTACATTCATTAGCATTTGTAAGGGCAATGAAGGGCTCAACCAGGGGACCGTAGGAGTCTAGAGAAATCCCAAATCCAGTTTGAGGAAATCACAAAGGACTTCCTAGAGGAGGCTACCCTGAGCAGGAAGTTGAAGGTTGAGCAGGAACTGGCCAGGAGAGGGGTTAACGTTGGAGAGGCTGGTGATGGAGGGCACTGCATTGCTGGAGAAATTACACGGTGCATGCAGGAATCTACAAACATGCCAGGTACAGGGAGGGATGAGGAGCTTGGGTTGGGGCTTGGTTCCTGAAGAAGGGGATGAGGTAGAGAGGAAGACCTCTGCTGTCTTGGCAGTAGTCACAGTGTTGGGAAGGTTGTAAAACTTCTGGATTTACTAGCCCTGATGGGGGCCCACTGCCCTCTCCCTGCTTCCCCCCATGCCAGCACTTCCAACTGAAGGTTCAGTATTCAGTGCATGAGAACCGCCTGCAGATGACCACCTCCCTGGACAGGTAGGAGTCAGCTGCCCATGCTGGCACCCCTGCACCCTTGCATGGGTATCACCAGCACCCTTCCTTTTCCTGCTCCATGGTCTTTCTCTGATCCCTCTGGCATAGCCTAACTGCCAGGCTGAGCTGGTCACCATTGCTGCTCTTAGTGGGTCTCCATTATGTACATGATCTTTTCTCAACTCTTAGCCTGGCGCTCAAGGCTCTTCTTGAATCCCCTCACCACTTCTTTCACTATCCTGCTAGGATCTTGCACAGTGGATCTGATCGTGAGCCTGTGTTCCTGTTTCCACTTAATAGGCCTTTGCCCATATTGTCCAAGTGCCACCTATCAGTGCCCAGCTCAGATGATACCTCCTGGAAGGCAGCCTTTCCTTGTGCTAATAACAGCTAACATTTAGAGAGCTCTGTCTACATGCGAGGCACTGGCTACCTACAGTATATTCATTATCCCACTTAACACTCTAGTTTTACCTTTAGTTGTACATTAACTTTTGTATTTGCCTTGATCTTACATCTGACTTGTCTTAGGCCAGGATTCTTTTAGTTGCAAGAGACAGTTCCATCTTTAACTGACTTAAGCTCCAAAGGAAATCTTTTGGCTTATGTAATTGAAAATTCTGGAGGTAAGCTTGCTTTCAGGCATGGCTGGATTTAAGTACCCAAATAAAGTCCTCAAGAATCTGTCTCATTCCTCCCTTGGCCCCTGTAATCCACTTGGTTGGCTAAATTCTCAAGTAGCCTCTCTCCCCAGGTGGTGGCAAAGTGACCCCAACAACAAGAGAGGTCTCTTGTCCTATAGTTCTAACAAAATTTCCAGGGCTGCTTTTCATTGGTTTGTCATTGATCACATGACTTACTCTAAGATAATCACCATGACTGCTCTGATTGGCCATGCCTGAGTCATGTGCTCAGGCTGGGGGCTCTGGGTTCAGCTCCACCTGAGTGTCTTGGAATGATAATACAAAATGGAGAGTCTGTTACTGGAATAGAGAATAGGCGTGGGGGAGATAAAGCCACCAGATGACCACTGCAAGGCCTGTTCTGGTGCCAATATTTATTAGCACCTATGGAGGTTGTGCAGGGGATGAGGCTGAGTGAGGAGCCCTAACTCTCTGTCCTTCAAGGATCTGGGACTAATTAGTTGGGCTGCTAATCTCTTCATGCCTGGCTTTGGGCAGGAGCAATAGACATGATTGGGGGTCTCAGAAAGAAAAGTTAGGACCAATGAAAGGAGACAGTGGTTTGAGCTGTGGGAAACAGAATGGGCTGTAATGAAAGGTAGTGAGTGCCCCATCAAAGGTAGCATGCAAGCAGAGACTTATAAACACCTGATAGGAAGGCATAGAGGGAACTTCTGCATCAGGGAGGGGTTTGGGTATTTGAGTTTCCCTTTCTCCAACCTCCAGGGAGGGCTCTGACTGCCCTCCCCACTCTTTGTTTCCTTCTCTGCAGATTACTGAGCCTGTCCCGCGAGTCCTCATCGATTGGTACCTTCAGTGTAAGTGTCCAAAGTGCTTCTGCCTAGTCTGGCAAGATGGGGCCTGTTCTCTCTCGGGACTGCAGGGAAGGACCCTGGAGTGGAGGCAAAGTAAACAGAGCAGACAGTGAGGGGTTTGGGGATCTCGACTTGCTCTGTGACCTTAGGAAAGTCACTTAGCCTCTCGAGCTCCAGTTTTCTTTTCTGCATAGAATCTGGACATCTCCTTGGGCTGATTTTTAAAACCATTATGCACAGCAGCAGCCTGAGCTGGCTTGGCTGACCCAGCTTTCCTTTTTTTATTAGTCTCTGTAGGCTCACAGCCCATCACAGAACCTGGTCAAGTACATGCTAAAAATAATAACAACGGTAGTACTTACTGAACACTTACTCTGTGCCATGTGCTTTACTCAAACTCATTGAAGCCATATGAGTGTTATTATATTAATTACACTTTCACAGATGGGAAAACTGAGGTACAGACAGGTAGTGAATGAATGACTGATCGAAGCTACTAAGTTTTCAATAGGAGCAGAAATGGGGTCCACAGGCCACCCGGTGTCTCCTGAATTCCCAATGTCTGCACCACAACCCCAGGCCCACGTGTCACCGGAACAGGGAAGGGACTACGAAGAGATGAAAGGTGTTGGCCTACAGTTACTCAGGGTCAGGACCAGTTCTGGTGCTGGTTGGACAAATTATTTGATGTCTTTAATATTCATTCCTGTGGCCCCAGACCCAGCTAGAGTGAGGGCTAAAAAACTTTGTCGAATTGAATTGAATAATGGGATGTGGGTATTTTCTCTTTTTTCTCTCTCCCTCAGGAGAAGCGATTGACTGGCTTTATCACTGACTTTCTCCGAAAAGCCTACATCCCTGCTGTCAATGGTGAGGGCTTCACCAGGCTTTGATTTGCTGGTGCCCGGAAACACGCTGAGCAGGAAGGGATGTGCCTTGGTGGTCTCAAACCCCGCCCCCGCCACCGGCCCCAGATAGAAAGGCTAAAAGGGAGTGGATGGTCACTGCTGAATCTTTGAGGCTAATGTAGTCTTAATGTCACCTGTTTAAGGACAAAGACCTCTCCCACAATTTGGGAATCCTTGATCCTTGACCCTACACCATGAGTTAGATCTTAACCTAGGCCTAGGATGTTAACACATGGTGAGCTGGTCCACGCTGTCTATGCCTGTGCAGCTCACAGACATCATGAACCAATCACAGCACAATTTCCCACTACTCTGCTCCGGGCCACCACTCCTTACTCAACTGCAGAGCCGTCAGGCCGAAATGACTCTTACTGTATTTCTCAGATGTGCTCCAAGTCGGGCTTCCACTTCCAGACTTTCTGGACATGAATTACAACCTGGCAGAGCTGGACATAGTAGAGGTGAGAATAGGAACTGGGGAAGGCCATGTCAGTCAACTTTTTCAGCCAATGAGTGATGAGTGAAAGCCTGCCTCTGTCAACCCGGAGGGAGGAGGGCCAAGAAGGGCTGTGTCCATCAGTACAATCCTGCCAATCCCTTGGGCAGTGCCCTGCCCCTCAGAACCAGGCCCCACTTGGCTAGGGGGTCCCCAGAAGGAAACTCGGATTCAGCCACTTTCTTTCCCTGCCACCTCAGGCTAATTACTTCACCTTCCTCTGTGCCTTCATTTTTCTGTGCTGAAAATGGGGATGATAATACGGGTACCTGCCTCAGAGAGCTGCTGCGATGATTCACTGAGATAATTTACCTAAAGGCATGCAGTAAGCATTTGTAAATATTAGCTTTTCACTGCTTGCCAAGCATGGCACATGGAGCATTAAATGTGCATTTTGCTCATTCTGTCTCCCCTCTTGGAGGTAGGGGTGTTCGACCTCTTTGACCATTGAGAAAACTAAAGCTCAGAGAGGTGAAAGATTGTAGGGAGAATCTCATTCATCCTCTGCTCTTAAATATGGGCTTCCATTTCCTGGCCGTGACCTTGTGCCCGGGATGACCTTGTGTCATCCCATTCTGCCCTTGGGTGTCCCCATCGCTGTTGCCTCCATCCCCACCTGACCCTTTGCTTCCTGCCAGAATGCTCTGGTGATGGACTTGAAGCTGGGCTGACCGGGACAGGATTCAGCTGCTGATGCCTGCAAACCTCCTATTGGCTGCACACCGGGAAGGAGCCCCTGATTGGAACCTCGTGGGCTGGGGGCCCCCTTCCTACCACTCGCGGCTTTCTTTAACAAGGAGTGAACGGGGCAAGGCCTGGGCTGGGGGCTTGCCAATAAACAGAAGAAAGGCTCTCACAAAGATCTAATGTTTGGACCTTGTTATTTGTAGCAAGTTGATGTGTGGTCTCTCTTCCCCTTTGGTGGGTTTTGGTGTCTAAGACCAGCCTGGGGTCTGAGGGAAGCTGGTCACAGCCTTGGAGCAGGCCTGAGCGTATACTGAGTACCTGCTGAATGCTGTGCTCAGGAATTTACTGGAACCATCTCATTTAATATCCACACTCACCTTATGAGAAGGGGCAATATTGCCATTTCCACATTACAGATGAGAAAATGAAGGCACGGAGAGGTCAGCTCCCTTGCCCAGGGTCACACAGTTTTGCAAGTGGCAAAGTTCTTTCCACCTCTTCCCACCCACCTTAGCTACTTGCCCCCAAACCTTGGTAACTGAGGTTGGCCCTGTTCGTAGGGACCTGTAGAAGGCCCAGGTGCTGTCGGGAGTCCTGCCTGTGTCACCTCCTGTAGTCCTCACAATAGGTGAGAGAGAGGAGGCTGTCTTCATTACACAGCTGCAGCGGCTAAGGCGCAGAGAAGGGGGACAACTGGCCCAAGGCCACCTGGCAAGTCAAGGGACTGAGCTGGGACCGGAGTTCTGGAGCCAGTCCAAACCCTGGCTCTGCCTCCTCGCTGCCGTGTGCCCTGGGCAAGTCACTCCACTCTCCGAGCCTCAGTTGCCTCCCCTGTAAAATGGGAATAATGACAGTACTGGACTCAGCAAGGTTGCCATGAAGATTCAATGAATTTAATCATGACAGGTGCTTAGCATAGGCCTGGCACAAAGTAAGTACTTAGTAAACGTTAGCCACAGGCAAGACTCTGAGACGGAGAGATGTGAACAGGCGAGTCTGTGCTGAAGGGGGGGGCGGAGGGGAGGTAACTGTGTGAGACCAGCTGCCAGTGCTAATGGCGTGTGGATCAGGGTGTCCCGGGGCATCTGTGCCGGTGTGAGCCGTCCTATCGTGGAACAGTTTGTGTGTGAAAAGACCTCGGGTGTCTGTCCCTGTCTACGTGAGTCTGTGTGTCCCATGTTCACTCGTGTGTCAGCTGAGCTGAGGGTGCTTCCACGTCTCACAGACCACGCTCACGTGGGGATCGGCTCCTGACATTTGTCTCATCTGCACCCCCTCCTCTGTGGGACTGACAAGGGGCACTGTCTTTTAAACTGACTCCTTTTTACAAGTCAATGTATATTCACACATAATATGTTAAAAATACTTTAAAAATAACTGTATTCCAAAGGGACCCTGAAAATCAGGGCCCTTTGCTGGATTGTAAAAACAAAATCCATAACTTTGAAAAAGAAAGCTGCACTGGGGCCTGCTATGATCATGGGGCGCTCCGATGCTGGAGATTACTGGGGGGCGGCCATGTATTGGGGTGGGATGTCTGTGTGTTGTGTGCACATTTGTCAAAATATGTCTCTGTGGGGAGGGTCTTTGCATGTGGGGGGTCCAGGTAGGGCTGGGTGGAGCGGAGTCAGTGTTGAGGGCAGGTGTCTGTGGCTCGGGTGGTGAGGCCAGAGGCCCGGTCAGGAGGCAGGCGCTCCTGGAGCTCACAGGGCTCTGGCAGGTTGGTCCAAGCGCAACCTGGCCCAGGCCCACACCAGAGAGGAAGGAGGGCCCTCCCTCGCCCCTGGCCAGATGCCCGGGGCTGTCCCCTTGTCCCTCCCCATTAGCCCTAATTCCATCACCTATTATTTCCCTGGTTCTGGGACAATGGCAGCTTTGAGACAGACCTGGCAGATACAGATACCTGGGTAATCCGTGAGTGGCCGATGCCTGACCTGGGGACATGTCAGAGACACCCCCTCCACACCCCGCCCCCACTCCAACCGTGGATGTTCACAGCACACTCCCGGCCACCTAAAGCCGCCCCACCAAGCTCCCCAGGCCCAGTGCACGGAGGGGGAATCCGAGACCCAAAGCCGAGTGAGTCAGGAGGCCCGGGCTGTCACTGGGAGCACCCACTCACTCACAGGGTGGCCTTGGAGAAACAGCAGCTCCTCTGTGAGAAACAGCAGTCTGTGAAAGGGGAGAGGGGCCGGATGCCCTGGCCTCTGATCTGACTTCAACATTCTTGGAGTGTCAGTTACCCCGGATTTGCCCTGGGCAGAATAAGGGGTCTAGGCTGGCAAGGGGAGCCCCACACTGTGACCCCACCCCCCTGGAGGCAGTAATGGAAGCTCCGTGCCCATGGCCTCCTGTCACCTTCTAAGACTCTCCCAGCCTCAGATGAGGAAGTGGCAGCTCTGAGACAGGAGGTGGCCAGCCCCCCGGTGCACATGCCCATGTGGAGCTGGGACTTGAACCCTGTCTGTCTGAGTCCAAGTCTGCTCCTTGCTCGTCACGCCACACTCAGCGACAGAAAGCATCGTCCTCCTCTAAAGAAACCAGGGCCCAGACAGGGCGTGTGACTGACTCAAGGTCTTTGGGCCCACAGCTCTCCAACCCCCAGGGGCCTGCCGGCAGCCCACACCTGGGAAGACGAAGACAGCACAGCATGCCCCACAGCTGTGTCCACACCCGTCACCGCCCCCCTTCTCCCTTCCCAGCCCACTCTCAGCTCAGGCACCTCCAGGAAGGCCTCCCAGGGACCTTGCCACTGTGGGGGTTTCTCAGGCACCCTTTGCACCCTCAATGCTCTCAAGTCCATTTCTCACCATCAGACCAGTCAGGTGAGAGTGGGCACCTTTAATGTCAGCCCATTTTGCAGATGGGGAAACTACGGCTCTGTGGTAAGTCACTCAATGGTACGTAACAGAGTTGGGATTTGGCCCCAGGAATTTTACCTCCAGAGCCTTTACTCTAGGAGATAACGCCCAGGGTTATTTCTCCTCATCAAGTCCCTCTCCTGCTCTAATCCCTTCCTTGGCTCCCCAGCACCCTCACTAGGGCCGTCAAAAGGCTTGTTAAGCATGGCAGTTCCCCGGGCCTCTGTGCTCGGCCTGTCAAGTCAGGGTTGCAAAGATGTGTACTTAGGAACTCCTTCCCAGGGCCAGGCCTGACCCCGACTCAGCTCTGGTGCTGGAGGAGACTTGCAGGTGCCTGGGGAGCTGCTGGGGTCAGAGTACCCTCTGAGGTGGGGTCTGGAAGGACTTGGGGACAGCAAGGCAGCCCAGAAACTCGGTAGCCTCTTCTGCCCTTTCCAGAGGCTGGGCTGATGAGTCTTAGAATCAGATGGCCTGGCTGGACTCCTGTGTGACCTGGGACCAGTGGCTGACGCTTGTAGAGTTTCTGGCTCCCCCAGTGGGAGACAGGGAAGTAATGGCAGTGCTGACTTCACTGACCACTGTGGTGACGACACAAACTCACACACTTCAGTGCCTCGTGCCCAGTAAGTGCTCAGTGAATGCCCGGTGCTTGCTCCCCCTCCTCCTCCCTCAAACAAATGCCCTAAAGGTGCTTGTGATGCCCGGTGCTGGCGAGGATGCGGGCAGCCGCGACTCTGTCTGATTGCTGGTGGAGCCCCAGGGGCAGAGCCCCTTTGGAGAGCCCTGGCAGTCCCAGGAAAGCTGAGCCTGTGCACGCACGCCTGCGACCAGCTGCCCTGCTCGTGGCTAGTTACCCCACAGAAATGAAAAGGGAAAATGTGTGTCCGCAGACGCCTTGACGAGTGTTCACAACAGCTTCATTCGGCATGACCAGCAGCTGCAGAGCCCAGGGGCCTCCAGGCAAGAGCGGACGACAAACCGGCGTGCTCCCGTAGCAGAGCCGTGTGTGCTCGTGTAGCAAAGAAGAACCAATCCTCGTCTTACCCACAGGGGTGGGTTTCACAGACTTCGAGTGTGAGGGATGCCGCACGTGGAAGGGCACATACGTGCCATTCCATTCCCATGACCCTCAAGAGCATACTGGGCCATCCACTGCGTGAGGGGTCAGGGCAGTGGTTTCCCTTGGTGGGCAGTGACTTGGAGGGACATCAGGGGGCTTCTGGAGCGCTCGGTTGTGACAATTCAGTGAGCTGTACATTTGTGATCTGGGCCCTTCTCTGTATGTGCTTTATATGCTAATAAAAGTCTGTTTTTGAAAAAGTGTGGTGTGTGGTTTAGTAGCCTGGCTTGTTTCTAAAGTCAGCAGGGTGCTCGCTATACAGTGAGGGGCTCCGAGGTTATGAGCTGGACCAGGCCAGTACCATCGCCCCACCCACCTCACCAGGCAGGAGACAGGCCCACAAACACCCAGAAACATGCCTGCAGCCCAGCATGTCACAGATGCTGGGGGAGAAAAATCCCTGAGGGCTGTGGGATCACAGCCAGCTTGGGGATCAGGAGGGCTTCCTGGAGGAGGGGATACCTGAACTGCCACCTGCAGAAGAATTACAAATAAAAGCTAAAGTCTGTAAATCTGTCCGATAACTTGCAGGGCCTCTTACTTCCTTGGCCCCATGTCCCCCACTACCCTCCACCGCGAAGGCCTCCCTAAGGTGCCTGCGTGTATCACCTGAGGGCCTTTGTCCTTGCCCTTCCCTCTGCCTGTCTGGCTTTTCCCCAGGTAACCACCTGGCCTACTCCTCCTCCTGCTCCAATCTGAGGCCTCCCCTGGCCACCATGTCGAAAACCGCACCCCTTCCCCCACTTTATTTCTGCCATCAGCCTCTGATGTCTGGTATCGTTGTGATGTGCTCCTCTCTTTCCTTCAGAGCTGTGTTGTCCAGTACAATGGCCAATGGCCATATGAGGTGACTGAGTGCTTGGAACGTGACAAGCCGACCTGTCCGTGGATTTTATAGACTTAGCATGAGAAAAATATATAGACCATCTCGTGAATAATTCTATATGGATTAAATGTTAAATAATAATACTTTAAAAGATTTTTTCTTTATTTTTAGAGAGAGGGAAAGGAGGGAGAAAGAGAGGGAGAGAAACATCAATGTGTGTTTGCCTCTCGTGTGCCCCCTACTGGTGACCTAGCCTGC